CTCCTCTAGGGTAGTTGTGAAAATGAGGATGTCATCCATGTAACAGATGACAACCTCCCAGTCGATGAAATCCCGGAGGATATCGTTCATCATGGTTTGGGAGGTCGCGGGCGAGTTGCATAGCCTGAAGAACATCACCATGGGCTTGAACAGCCCCCGGTTGGCCGCAAACGCGGCCTTCCACTCATCACCATCCTTGATTCGGACATTGTTGAACCCCCAGCACAGATCCAGTGCTGAGAAGTATTTGGCATTGCGGAGGCAGGCGAGGATGTCAGAAATCAGCGGGAGCGGGTACAAGTTCTTTACTGTGATCTCGTTCAGCTTCCGGTAGTCCTGAACCAGGCGTAGTGACCCGTCCTTCTTCTTAACAAAGAAGACTGGGGCTCCCATTGGGGACTTGGATGGTCGGATGCGCCCATTCGGTTCTCTCGCAGAAACCCATCCAGCTCTTTCTGCTCCGGCCGTGAGAGCGGGAAGGTCTTCCCTCTAGGGAGCTTGGCATCCGGCACTAGGTCAATGGCATGGTCCCAGGGTTTCCAGGGAGGCAGTTGATCGAAGGCCTCTTTGGAGAACACGTCCCAGAAATCCTGGTACTGCTCTGGCACCAATGCTTCAAACAGTACAGGCTCTGCCTCCGGGTCATGGGCTTCTTGGGCCATCCGCTGGGAGGGTGTGGTGGTCGCTCTCAGCTTGTGTCCCCATTCTGGGGGGATGATCGTGGCATAGATCCCATCTCCGGGCTCTAGCATGGGGTCTTGGTCACTTCATGCTTGTGGTGGCTGGCAGGAGGATGGGCAACGGGACATGGCGACCTTTTGCCATACCCAGTCCACTTCCAGGTTGTGGTGCAGCAGCCATGAGTGCCCTATGATGAGGGACTGCCGCCCGAGGTTCGCAACTGCGAAGCGGGCCCGCTCTGTATGGCATCTGAATGTCAAGAGGGCCTCTAGTTCCTCAGTTATGGCCCCATTCTCGTTTGGGGTTCCATCGATGTTGCGGATGGGGATGGGTTGGGGGAGTGGGGTGGTCTCGAGCCTGTGCTTTCGGACGAACTCGGGGCTTACGAAGTTCCTGGTGGCTCCCAAGTCAAGGAGTGCTGACACAGATACAGAGGCCAGGGTGGTCAGGGTGGTCAGCTTCACAGCAAGGTTGAGGGATCTTGGAGAGTGTTTGGAGAGGACGTAGATAGCAGGTGGGGACACTGCTACCTCTGGGGTCATCTCTGCAGTTTTCTCATCCTTGCGGGCTGGGGGTGCTCCCTTCCTCTTTTTCTTTGCAATGACTCGGTGGAGTTTCAGTGCTGGTAGCGACTCGCGTGCGTCATGGCGTCTGTGTGAGCTATCCCTCATGGGTGGCTGGGTCTCCGGGTGCCCTCTTTGGTCCGTGCCTAGCCCCTTCCCTCTTGCTTCTGATCCTTTCGTCACTTGGCCCCTCAGCCCCTTCATCAACATTTGGAGGTCTTCCAGGTGCAAGTGTCAGGTCTGGTGGGCCTCTGGGTGCGGGTTCGTCTCTGGTCTGGGGCGGGTTATGGGAGTCATGGGCGGGACTGGTGGGGGAGGGGGTTTGGGTGAGGGCATGCACAGCTCTGTCCTCTGGAAGCGCTGCCACTGGCTGTCAAGGAGGGTGGCCTCACATTTCCATTCGGACCAGGTGGTGGGCATAGGGCGGAGCTGGTAGATGCTCTTGCAGAGCCGGGAGTTGATTGCCCGCTCGAAGCAGTCGACTAGCCCTACGTCACCTAGCTGCGAAGTGGGCCCCAATATCTCAAACTCCTGGATGAGCTTGTCCATGGGATCACTCCCCTGTTGGACAGTAGCCAACCTCTGCCGGGCTGTGGCCGCCTGGTTCAGGTCTTGGAACATGGCATCGAGTTCCACATTGAACTCGTCCATGGTGGGTGTGGGAGAGCCCGTTGTCAGTAGTGCCATGGTGCGTTGCGTTGCCCACACTCCTGCAGTCCCTCCCTTCATGTAGGAAAGCATGAAGAGGACTTGGGAGGGGGTGCTGGGGAATTCGGCCATGCAGACGTAGAGATAGATCCCGCATTTGGCCCTGAAGTGGTCAAGGTCCTTGCTGACTCCCGAGAAGGGGGTGGGGGGGGGCGACCTTGGGTGGTCTGGGCATGTGCGCAGGCTGGCCCTGGGCTTGGGCTATCACAATGGCCTGTAGTTCCTGGAACTGGGCCAGCAAGTTGTCATACTGTTCTTGCGTCACCATGGCAGGGGAGATGGGGGGAAATGAGGTTGAAACCTTCTTCTGCTGTCAGGGACAACCAGGGGTCGAGAGCATCCAGGTATATCGCCCGGGGCTGAGGGCCCGGTAGGGTGTGGCACAGGCGTGTGTAACAACAGGCCCGAAGCAGACAAAGGTCCCTGGCCACTTAGGCTAAAGTGGGAAGTGTGAGAAGAAGGTTGCTTCTCAGTTCCCACTTAGGCTGTGTTTATATACATGTAGTTAAGGCCACATCATCTGCGCACACAGCCACATCCGTCCGGGTATCTCCACAAGAGATCCCAGGAGTGCCTGGTGTGTGGGAGGCCACCTGGTGGGTCCGGGCATGTCATACTGCAGCCGGGCCAATGGTACACTGATAGGAGGGAAGTCGTCTGTGTAATAAGTAAGGAAAGAAAAAAAAGAGAAAGGAGGGAGAAAGAGAGGAAGAGAAAAGGGAAGAGGAAGTAGGGAAGGAGTGGGTAGCGGGGAGCCAGGTCAGGTGGGTAACAGGGGACTGGGTCAGCTGGGGCCAGGTCAGGTGGGTGTGCCCTGACACTTCCACACTAAGTCTCCGATTCCACTCCGGAGTCGTCCAAATCTGCATGATCTAACAGTTTAGCGGAATGACAGGCTATAACCCACAAGCGGAAAGGAGGGATTGGCCCGAAGGTGGGCTTGCAGGGCAAGCAACTAAATTTCCCAATGTGTCATATCCATACAATCCTGACCTCCGCTCCAGGCTCCCGGAACTCCGAAACTGACTCCGGAGCCCCACTTCCCTTCCATCACCTTCTTCTTGCTGACTCCCAAGAGGTTATCCCACCTCTGGCTCTGACACCACCTTTGGTCCGACTCCGGAACATTCCGGGTCCGACCTCAACCTCGACACCTTCCAGACGAGCATGCAACACCTATGCTCCTGACTCCAGACCTCCACTCTGGAATCCTGTTTGTGTTTCTGTCTCTGGAACCTCCAGTCTTAGCTCTGACCTCAGACTTTGACCCCACCTCCGCTTATACCCATTGTATTGGTTAGCCGATTCCATTTATTGACCTTTGCCAATATTCCGGAGTTTGGCCTCCGAGTTTGGACTTTCCGGACTTACTTCGGACCTTGCAACTATTGCATTGTCCATTTCAATTCCGCTATTCTCCCTCATTCCTATTTGGGCTGCTGCTTCCTTTCTATTCAGTCAGCTAGCCATTCCCGACTCCCATCCTCCTTCCTTCCTCCTTGGGCTTTGGCCCTTCACTCCTCCTTTGAGAAACACCATTGAGTCAAACCCTTGACCCTCAGTGTTGTTCCTCCTTCCAGCTCCCTTTGTCTCCTTTCATCCTACCCTTGTTCCTTTTGATTCCGGACCCCTCCTTATATACAATGTACCTAGTAACTTGTAACCTCAGTCCAAAATCAACTTGATTTCCCCCCAAGAGACTTCCCTTTGCTAGATCCAAAATTAGGGACCCCTAGGACAACCAGCAATGGCACAGTGCTCTGCCTGAGTCGCTGAGGCCAAGGTCCTTCTACGCTAAGTCTCCAATTCCATTCCGGAGTCATCCAAATCCGCCTGATCTAACACAACAGAGGTGGGAGTGCACAAGCAGACGTTGGAGCTGTCCGGAGGCCTTCAGGGCTCCATACTTAGGGAGGCATAGGTAATATATTGAATTGAAGGGGTGGTGATCATCAGGGGAGTCGGAGGTGATTGCAGAATCTGGAGGCTCTGAGGTCAGTGACAAAGAAGCGGAGGTAGTCTGGAAGGACCGGAGGTAGTGGAGGGTGATGGCCATGGATGGATATGACACATCCAGTACAAGGGATGAGGGACAAGATTCTTCTGAACAACCTCTAGATGCAGCTCGTGCATCAGAGACATGGAGGGCAGCTTCCTCACTTTTGGCATCAGTGAGGAATGTACAGGTTTCATTCCAGGGAAGGACCATGTCTCCTCCAATGAACATGTACTGCCTATGTGGCATATTACCATCCATAGCGATGATGACATCAGGACATCTAGGGAAACACTTAGTATGCCTGTTCTCGAAGGACATCCATGAGAGGACTAACTTGTTGGCTGAACTACCCCATATCAAGCCTCCAAGGGGCACATCTCACATGGACTTATGGGCTGGCGGTGGTGTCGGATGGTGTCAGAGACCAGGTTGAGATGAAGGAGTGTCTCTGTGGTGGAGGGCTTCGGCCTCAGCGACTTATGCCAGGAGCGCTGTGCCAAGTAACACGTCCGTGCCCTAACTTACTAAACTGGCAACCAGAACTGAGGGGGGTAAACTCTAGTCGATTTTATTACTGAGGTGTAACCTATGTACAAGTTGAGTATATATATAGTTACAACGAGAGCGGGCCCGCAAATGGCGGAGCCGAGTGGAGCGGAGCTAACGGGGTTAGACATTAGCCGATTGAATATTACTGACGAGTTGGGTTATGGGGTTAACGGAATGGTAGGCGATAACCCAGAAATGGAAAGGAGGGATAGGCCCAAAGGTGGGCTTGCAGGGCAAGCGAGTGTATTGCCCAGCGGAGGCAGGAGTGCGCTAGCGGACGTTGGAGCTGTCCAGAAGCCTTTGGGGCTCCGTACTTAGGGAGGCATAGGTAATAAATTGAAAAGAGGGGGTGGTGACCATCGAGAGGTACCAAGGTGATTGCGGAATATGGGGGCTCCGAGGTTAGTGAAGAAGGAGTGGAGGTAGACCGGAGGGATTGGAGGGAGTGGAAGTCGATGGCCAGGGATGGATATGACAGATGGGTTGCGAATGAGCCTTGCTCACTCAGGGACCATCAATGGAAGGTCCTGTGACATCTCTGTGAAGGTTGGGATGCCATGGTCAACAGACACCATGCCATGGGACATAGCGACTGAAGGATCTCCATTGTGAGCAGGAGCAGCATGGATGGACCCGGCGGACTCAGCCAGCGCAGAATGACATAGTGGTGCATCGGGCACTGCAGGGGATGAGGGATGGAGGAATTCTCTCTCCATTTCAACCTCTACTAAATCACACAAGGCCTGGAACCAAGTGATTGCCTCACTAAACGACTGGAGAAAGGGGTCCTATATGAATGCCAGATCATGAATGTGCTGATTCCTGACAAATAACAAATGAATCTCACGTTGTGGGTGAACTTGTAGCCATTCTCTTGTAACATGGCAAACAAAGCGGCATGAAAGGAGGCAGCTGGGGTATACAAGTCCACATGTAAGGCTGAATACAGCGAAAGGACATCGAAATGGAAGGCAACTTGGGGCATTACAGGTGACCCTGGAAAGTAGCCAGACTGGATGATGCTAAGCAGGAGAGTATTAGATGGACATTCACAATATTCGAATGTCTGCCACATGGCACCTGGCCCAGGGTCATTGGGTCATGTTTGTTAAGTAAGGTCAGAACGGAAACGTACCTGAGAATGCGATCATCATGAGCAAATGAAACCAGGGAGATGCATTGCAGTGAGAGCACAGTGATACTGCTGGTGTTTGTGGTCTTCCGTTTCATCATATCTGTACATGCCCAATCCCAATCCGACTCCCGGACCCTCTGCATCACCACCTCCGGAGTCCTACCCTACCTCCATCTGCTCCGATATCCACCTTCGGACCGAACATCACACCTCCTCCTCACTCCTCACGTCACCTTCTCCCTTTCTGTCCCTACCTCCATCCACTCCGAAATCCACCTTCGGACCTGACACCATTTCTCCTCCCACTCCTCTCCCCACTCCTCTCATCACTCTCCTCCCTCTGACCATCTTCTGCCAAACCTCCACCAAGTTATGACCTTCTGCCACCATCCCATACCTTGTACTCGGACACTGCCCATACCTTCGCTCTGAGACTCCATCATGGTCCCGACCTCGGACTTTGACCCCACCTTGGCTTAAGTCCATTGCATTGGTGACCTCATTCTATGTAAACACCATTGCCAACATTCCTCGGACTTTCAACCCCACCTCCACAAGCTCCGTAAGCTCCGCAACCTCCAAGCTCCACAGACCATACCTGGCACTTTCGCCGCTTGTAATGTATCTTTCACGCTTTCCCCTCATCCTTATTTGGACTGCTGCTTCTTTCCATTTTAGCCAGTTAGTCATCATCCCCACTTCACCCCATCCTCCTGCCCCTCTGGGCTCTGCCCTCCCTATCTCCTTTCGGATGTACCTGTCATATCCACCCACAGCCATCATCCTCATCCACCTCTGGTCCTCCAGATCCCCTCCACTCCTTTGTCACTAACCTTGGAGCCTCCGGATTCCGCAATCACCTCCGACTCCCTTGATGGTCATCACCCCTCCAATTCAATATATTACCTACACCTCCCTAAGTATGGAACCCCAAAGGCCTCCGGACAGCTCTGACGTCCGCTAGCACACTCCTGCCCCCACTGGGCAATTCACTTGCTTGCCCTGCAAGTCTACCTTTGGGCCTGTCCCTCTCTTCCGTTTATGGGTTATAGCCTGCCATTCTGCTAACCCCCGTAACCCGACTCATTGGTAATATTCAGTTGGCTAATGTTTAACTGTCAAAAACCCGGATTGTAGGGGATGATGTGTGAGTCCGAATGCAGGCAGGGCTCAACTAGATGGGATCCAAGAGCTCCGGTAGTGGACCGAAGCTTCTCCAGGAAGCCCGGTTCTGCTGGATGGTACAAGAGGCTCTAAGGAGGATGCAGCCTCAGTGACTTGGAGGGAGCGCTGTGCCTCCGTTATGTCTCAGTTAGTCCTTGTATTTCTTATGTCTGAGGTATCTTGTAGGAAGGGGCCAGGATTCACTCAGAGGGACTTGGGGTAGCATTTTAGTCGAGATTAGAACTGAGGAGAAAACTACAGGTTCTAATCTACAGGTATTTATAAGGGGGAATGGAAAGGACTTAGTCAAAGTCCGAATGATAATAGAAGAACACCGAAAGGTGCCGAATGATACCGAGAGGTACCGAAAGGTCCCAAACGATATCCTTAACGGGGAACTGAGGTGTCGGGTCAAGGGGGGCAGAGTAAGAGGCCGGAAGATGAATGGGAACGAGAAATGGGTAAGAGGGGGTTAGCTGACTGAATGGTAAGAAGAAGATAGTTGTGCTAAGAATGGAAGGTGACTAATAAGAGATGATGTGAGAGGGGTCACCAAAGGATGCAGGTAGCTCCGAAAGCGGAGTTGCGTATCCGAAGGATGTTGGGTGACTCCAATAAATGAAATGGGTGGAGAAATGGTTTAGGGGTATGTCACGGGATGTCAGAGGTCCGTCGGGGTATCAGAGCAAATGCGGAGTCTCCGGATGTTCCGACTTGGGGCCGAGCTTCCGGGATGGGAGTAGCCAAGGTTCGGTGTGCCGCAACCAGGCCGGAGCTGAGACAATCAGGAAGGAAGGTGACTTGGGGAGTGGGGAGGCATGGTGTAGGGGATGGTGAAGTTGTTAGGAAGGTGTGGTGTGGTGGGAGTGCGCAGGGTCGGGATTCTGGGATATGACATTAACCCTGTTAGCTCCGCTCTGCTCGGTCCCACCATTCACGGGCCCACCCTCGCTGTAACTATATATACACAACTTGTAGATAGGTTACTGTCAGGGCATGCCCTGACATACCCTGCCCGACCCCCGCTCTGCTTCCCCGCTTCTCCCTCCTCTCCCCTTTCCTTTCTCCTTTCTTTCTTTCTTTCTCTCTCTCTTACATGCACCACCTTTCCCGTTGTTCAATGTATCACTGGCGTGCATGCCCATTTCCCCTCCTGTATCTTACCATCCCTATATCGCCGCCACCGCTGCCGCACTTGCCCTGCACCCACAGCGGGCCCCCTCAGGATCTCCCGCGGAGGCACCTGGAGAGTGTCATATCCATACAATCCTGACCTCCGCTCTGGGCTCCCGGAACTCCGAAACCAACTCCAGAGCCCTACTTCCCTTCCATCACCTTCTGTCAGGGCATGCCCCGACATGCCCCGCCCGACCCCCGCTCCGCTTCCCTGCTCCGCACCGCTCCTCCCTCCTCTCCCTCTTCCTTTCTCCTGTTCTTCTTTCTTTCTTTCTCTCTTTCTCTCTCTCTCTTACACGGACCACCTTTCCCGCTGCTCAATGTATCACCGGCGTGCATGCCCATTTCCCCTCCTGTATCTTACCATCCCTATATCGCCGCCACCGCCACCGCACTAGCCCTGCACCCACAGCGGGCCCTCTCAGGATCTCCCGTGGAGGCACCCAGAGAGCCGTGGCTGTGTGCGAGGGTGACATGGTGCACCCCAGGTGATCGATACCGCATGTATATAATAACAGCTGGAGTGGGAACCGAAGAAGTAGCCTTCTTCTCACATTCCCACTTCAGACTAAGTGGTCGGGGACGCTCACCCCGCGACGGGATTGCCGCTACGCACAGCTGCTACTCGTCCCACCGAGTCCTGCACGCCAGGACCTTGCCACTTTCGGAGCTGTCCCTGACACCTTCTCCTTGCCGACTCCCAAGAGGTTATCCCACCTCCGGCTCCAACACCACCTTCAGTCCGACTCCGGAACATTCCGGGTCCGACCCCAACCTCGACACCTTCCAGATGAGTACACAACACCTATGCTCCTGACTCCGGACCTCCGCTCCGGAATCCTGTTTGCGTCTCCGTCTCCGGAACCTCCGGTCTTAGCTCCGACCTCGGACTTTGACCCCACCTCTGCTTATACCCATTGTATTGGTTAGCTCATTCCATTTAATTACCTTTGCCAATATTCCGGAGTTTAACCTCCGAGTTCGGACTTTCCAGACTTACTCCGGACCTTGCAACTATTGCATTGTCCATTTCAATTCCGCTATTCTCCCTCATTCCTATTTGGGCTGCTGCTTCCTTCTATTCAGTCAGCTAGCCATTCCCAACTCCCATCCTCTTTCCTTCCTCCTTGGGCCTTGGCCCTTCATTCCTCCTTTGGGAAACACGATTGAGTCAAACACTTGACCCTCGGTGTTGTTCCTCTTTCCATCTCCCTTTGTCTCCTTTCGTCCTACCCTTGTTCCTTTTGATTCCGGACCCCTCCTTATATACAATGTACCTAGTAACTTGTAACCTCAGTCTGAAATCGACCTGAATTCCCCCCAAGAGACTTTCCCTCTGCTAGATCCGAAATTAGGGACCCCCAGGACAACCAGCAATGGCACAGCGCTCCGCATGAGTCGCTGAGGCCAAGGTCCTTCCACGCTAAGTCTCCGATTCCGCTCCGGAGTTGTCCGAATCAGCAAGTTCTAACAGAGAACCATGGCTGTGTGTGAGGGTGACATGGCGCGCCCCATGTGATCGATCCTGCATGTATATAATAACAGCTGGAGTGGGAACCGAAGAAGTAGCCTTCTTCTCACATTCCCACTTCAGGCAAGTAGTGTAGCCTTCCCTTTTAATGATAACTCACATTCCCACTTCAGACTAAGTGGTCAGGGACGCTCACCCCGCAACAGGATTGCTGCTACACACAGCCGCTATTCGTCCCACCGAGTCCCACACGCCGGGACCTTGCCACTTTCGGAGCTGTCCCTGACAGTTACACCCCAGTGATAAAATCGACTAGAGTTGATGCCCCTTTTTAGTTCTCGCTGCCAGTAAGTAAATTAGGGCACAGATGTGTAACTAGGCAGAGTGCTCTTGGTCTTAGTCACTGAGGCTGAAGCCCTCCACCATGGAGACATCTCCTTCATCTCGCATCTGGTCTCTAACAGTACCACAGAGTCTAAACCCATGACCTTTGGTACTGCTCCGCTTCCGTCATCCCTTTGTCCCCATTCAGATGCCTTTGTTCCGATTTGGACCCCCTTTGATTTCCTTGTGCTTTCGTCTCTCCACTATATACAGGCACTTGTACATACTTGTTTTAGGCCCTCAGTCTAAAATCGACCAGAAATGCACCCTAGAGACTTCCTGCTCACTGCCTCTGAAATTAAGGACCAAATGGACAAACAGCAATGGCACAGCGCTCTGCATGAGTCGCTGAGGCCAAGGTCCCTCCTTGCTAAGTCTCCGGTTCCCCTCCAGAATCGTCCACCCTTGCCCAGTTCTAACATGTTTCTGTCAAATGACGTCTCGCTGGGGGTGGCAAGGGGCACATGTCCTGCCTTCTTTGCCTCTACTTCTAGATAGATTTCCAGTGCGTTGTGTATTATATTGTGGTGCCAATGGAGCCATGCAGCTTGCTTTTGTGGATTTCATAATGCTCTCTTGGCCCATTTTTGGGAAGCTGACCACGAAGGTGTAGAGGGCAAGGTGGAGTCTGGGTTTGAAAGAGTGGGTTCTGTGA